GCCAACCTCAATTCCTTCCAGTTATTTTGAGCTTGAGTTTCTGTCTGCTTAACCATAGAGAGAAAACACAGTTTTTGGTAGAGATTTTTAATTTTCTAACAAGTGCATGTCAAACACATTATGCTACAGTCACCAGTAATCAGTACAGGCTCTGTGTGTTGTGTATACATCTATCTATACAGATATATACACATATATACAATGTGTATATCTCTTTGGCTTAATGATACACATTGTAATATACATGGTTCTAGCATGAACTGGTTAAGCAGGAAAGACAGCAGAATCTGTTGCTGGAAAGACAGTTAATCGTGTGACATCATAAGAACTCTTTTCTGTTGTGACCCCATCCTGGAAGAAATACTTCCCCCAGTGTACTTGAGACGAATAACCTCAGCCTCCATAGTGGTTTGGGACGCTGAGATCTGAAGCAGCCATTCTCAGGGCCAACTCCTTGTGACCCTGGACATTGACTCGAGACAATGGGTGGACATCCAAGCAAGTATATCAGACTGTGGGGTGTTAAACGGGGCATGGAGGAAGGGGTGCCTGCTGGCTGGAGGGGAAGCCATTTCCCATGCTCCTTAGGGAGAACCTGGAAACTCATCCCACAAGTTCAGGTGTAAGATTCTGTATAGTCGTTTACGTATCCTAACTCCTTACCTGATCGGGATTATGAGTTGAGAGAATCCTCAACAAATTCTCCTTCCATCTTTTAAATTATGGAGTTATTGGAAAACTCTGGGAAGACTAACTATCCCTGCCTGATGCTTAGAGTCAAAATTCTGTTGCTCAGTCTGGGAAAACGCACTGGAACTTCCCCCTTACAGATCTGACCAGCCCACACTTTACCTAATGAAGTGATTTGCTTATGTTTCTAGTAGCATGGCAGTGGAAAAGAAGGAACCTTTTTTTTTTCTTTTTAGATAAAAGTAAAGGCATCTGAAAATGCAGTATGAGTCAATATGGTATACATAATAAAATGAGATATTCTCAGGACCTCAAAATTTCTCCTTTGAAACACCTTGCTTAATAAAAAAAAATAAGAAAAACACTTTTATGGACCTAGAGACAAGTCTTTTTTTTTTTAGGAAAAAATGAAATATTTTAAATAGCATTCTAGGTAGAATTAGTCCTAATAAAATGTGAACTAGATGGAAATTAGCCTCTTTCTACTCCATGTTATAGCACTTATTTCTCTACTCTTGGAGACCCAGTTTCTGAGTTTAGAATCTATCTCTCAGTTACTATCAATTACTACCCTCTAGCCACTAGACAAACAAAAACCTAATAATGATAGAAGATTTCATTCTTAGTAATGATTAGATTTAAGTAGTAAAATGTTAAAGACCTGAAGTGTTTAGGATCCCAAAGAATAGTTTAATTTTATACCTCATGGAGACTTTTTGGTTAAGACTTAACATGGTTCTCCATAAATCACAGAAATGTAGATTTGGGCTTTGATAAGGAAATTGAATATTTAGGGAAGGGAGAAGAGAGTTTGTGTAGGAGGGCACAAAAGTGGGAAATGCCCAGTGCTAATTTGAGAATATGGAATAGAGACTGAGGCGTTGGGGGGAGCATGGGAAGAATGGAAGGAGAAAACGTTGGAGTGAATTCTAGTTCTAAGAACCAAGAGTCCAGAATGGCATGCTAATGTATAAAGTCAGTAGCCAGTAAATATTGTTTGAGCAGCAAAAGAAAAGGAGAAGAATACTCACACAGTATACCTACTGGCAGAAGGATGCTAGGAGAAGGCTTACATATATGAATTCATAAAATACTTAGAACAATTTCATGAGATTGGTACTGTTCTCCACATTACGTAGGTGAATACTCTGAGGCTCACAGAAGTTCAATTTATCAAGCAGGATATAATCCCTTACTTCAAAATCCTGTAATCTCATCCAATATCTAGGAAATGTTGATGCCAGCTGTCTGTGAGAGAAGTATTATTATAATTGCCCTTTTACAGAGGAGTAAATTGAGATTCAGAGAGCTTAAGTAACCTGCCTAGGGTTACCCAGCTAAGAAATGGCAGAGTGAGGATTGAAATCCAACAGTCTGACCCTAGTCTGTTTTACACTCTGTTTCTTGATCCAGTGTTCTTTCCTGCTTTTTACCACCCCACCCCCCTTGATAGTAAAGTGGGGAACAAAAAAATTGATTGGTTCTATTTTATTTAATACTGTCTGCCCTTCCATTGTCTGCCCCAAGCAGTGGCCTTCCATTGCCCCAAGCAGTGGCTCTTCCTCCACTAGTTTCTTGTTTTAAGAATAGTTATAATGACCTAAACAGTAAGAGCCTAGGAATAGTCTGTGTTCTAGTCTTTGAGAAACCATCCTTTGAGGCTGTTGTCTTTTAGGGCTCCCCGTGGGTAGAAGGCCTCTAAGCGTACTCAAAAGCTTACTGTGCATGGATTTGTCTTTTAGATTCATTCATTTATTCAGAGGACATCAATTGAGCACCTACTGTATTCCAGTACCTGTGCAAGGTGTAGGGGCTGGATCAGTGAGCAAAAGGTACCTGGTTCTCCCTTCCCTTTCCCACCGCTTTATAGGTGTTTTCAGATGTTGAGTGCTAGGGGAGAGGAGACCAGCAATGAAGGGCCTGACTGGTCCATAAATGAGATCACCCGCCCATCACTGCCTTGCTGACCTTTCAATCTACCTGTAAATCTGTTTCAGCCGACTTTGTACTTGGTGCTACTTCTTTCTTTTTCCTCACTGGAGAACTTTGTGGTATTATCATTCCAATGTCATTTGTCCTTTTTAGTCATCTTGAATCATTCTCTGTTGTTCAGTCTCTGGCCCCAGCCTTTCTTTTCAATAGACTTTTTTCAAAACAGTTGAAATCTAATAATTCTCTACATTCTCATCTTTCACTGTATTGAAATTTAAGATGACATGACAGTTTCCACTTCATTAGGCACTTCTTTGTTGGTCAGAAGTAAATCTAGAGGGAAAAAAATCTTCCTCGTCTTTTGAGGGTCAAATTTTCAATGAGTCAAGCTAAGAAAAAAAAAAAAAAGAAAATGTTGTCTGACACTTACCAGAACTTTGAAATCATCCCAAAGTACTGTATGTTACCTCAGTATCTGTTGTGTGTCTATTTTAAGAACAATTTGTCCATATTTTCTAGTCAGCCAGGCATTCAGCAGTTAGCTCTCACAGTGATGTTTTAATTTAGCTCTTTTTTTTATCCTCACCCATGCATCCTCTTCAGGGATTCGGCTCCTCTCTTGGAATCCCTTTTAAGATTTTTAGGTCCTGTTGGCCCCCATGCTTCCTAGGAGGAGTGTTGGTTCACAAGATGCTATTTCTGCTGCAGATTATATGTCATTCTTTCTAGAAAGAGCCTCAGAGTAGTGAGAGAGATTCAAGAAACAGCTTCTTCTTTTTCTCCTCAGTATCATTGTTTTTCGGTCATTACTTCTTGGCATTAGTTTTTATTCTACCTGACACCCTACCTTTTTTTTTTCTTTTTGCCGTGTTCAAGATTATTTCTCCCAGCTTTAGGAAAACGTTGTCCCTGAGAAGCTTGAGAGACAGGAGGCATCCTTCCATTTCCCTCATCATCTTCTCTCACAAAAAGACAACCTTAAAAATGCAGAAAGTAATACAACCATGAAAAGTGATTTATGGCCACCTCAGAATGGAATGCCCACATGGCACACTTTTCTCATGTTCCTAGAACATTTCCCATCTTGTCCATGGCTCTCAAGTCTGCCATTGAGATGTTTCCTTTGCCCCTTTCTCTCAAAGCTTCCCTTCTAAACTATGTAGTCCCCATTTCTTTGCTACTGGTCTCCTGGATGTCGTGGGTTTCAGATACTCTGGACTTTAAACCAGAGGAGGCATTCTGTTCCCTTCATCACTCACCTTCCATTTCCCAGCTATTTGTTGGTATTTAGTATCAGTTCACAGTAGCAGGCTCAGCCCCCTTTAGTAAATAAAGGGCCACACACAGATCTTTGAGTTTTTCCCAAGTATTTCATGTATTTCTACCCCTTATCTCCAACTTCTCATTATATTCACTCATCACTGTATTTCTTTTTTATCAAGTGTTTATAAAAATAGTGATACCTAACATTATTACCTACCAGTGTCAGAGACTGTGCTAATATTGTTGTTATTTTCTGGCACTGTTCTATGTACATTTCATATATTAGTCATGGAATCCACACAACTGCCCCTATTACATTCACTCTGTTATTGTCCCTTCTTTACTAAGGCGAAAACCTGAAGCTTAGAGAGGTTAAGTAATGTAACCAAGGTCATGTTTTTTTAGGTCTGATTTTCCAACAATAATGTAGCTTGAGTTTTCTCCACTGTCAGTCACTGTATGACCAGTCTGAAAGAAAAGGAAAAAAATATGAGAAACTATTCCCAGTATAAAATACAGAGCAAAGACAAAAACATTTCATTGGCTTTGATTTCCCTAGGGACTGCCTTCAAAGGGACTGCCTTCAAATTTACTTCCTATTCAAGGAAACAAGATCTATCCAAACTGGACTTTTGCTTTTTTTTCCTTGAATGAGAAAAGATTTTCCCTAGGGACTGCCTTCCCTAGGGACTGCCTTCAAATTTACTTCCTATTCAAGGAAACAAGATCTATCCAAACTGGACTTTTGCTTTTTTTTCCTTGAATGAGAAAAGATAAGTAAAACTTTTTCACCTGGTAAGGTCTATATAAGTGTTATTTGAGAAGGATGATTTAAATTAAATTGTCTAGCCATTAGAATAAGCAAAATCATTTTTGAAAGATTGTTAAATGCTTACTAATGAAAAGTTTGAGTCCTTGGATTATCCCATCATGTAGTACTGTGTAAAGTATTCACATTGGTGGAGGGAAAATTTATAACATAATAAATAATACTTTGGCTCAAATTGTTGTACTTTAATTAAGCTTGGCCTATTATTATTGAAATCGGCTTCTTTGCTTGTGTTTCTAATTTTTCTTTTTTTTTCTCTTTTTTCTTTCTGGAAAAAAAAAATTAGCTCCTAGTCAGACTGTTACTCTGGTGACACAACCCACCGTTACCAAGGAAACTGCCATCTCCAAACTAGAAATGCCATCTTCCTTGCTGTTGGAGGTACCCGCCCTGGCAGATTTCAACAGAGCTTGGACAGAACTTACCGATTGGCTGTCTCTGCTCGATCGAGTTATAAAATCACAGAGGGTGATGGTGGGTGATCTTGAAGACATCAACGAGATGATCATCAAGCAGAAGGTATGGGGAAAAAGAAAACCTGGTTGAGATTTGCCGTTAAAGTGAAAATTGTCCACATGTCCGTTCACTCTCCCTAGACCATATTCCCACCAGTTTTTAGGCAGCTTTTCTCTGTCAGCTACACACTATCTCTATTCTGTGTAGCCTAAGTATGATCAAGAAAAAAAATAATGCAATTATCTAAAACCCATAAATTAAAACGGAATTATACAAGGAAAAAACCATAAACCTTACAGTTAGTTGGCTTAATGAAATTCACTAAACAACTAGTATTTAAAAAATCTATTTAATATCAAATAAGTAGTTCAACTGAGCTGTTTACATTTTAAACTGTTTGTTTTGGCAGCCTGCAGCCATAATATATTACAGAATCAAATATAATGATCTGGGAATTGGTTATTCACTCTTCTGAGTTGTCTGTGCCAATTTTCCTCCTACGATGATGAATATCACTGAAAGTTAGCTATAAATTTTTAGAAAAGAAAAGTACCAAACATAATATATTTTTAAATACCTTAGATCTTAATATTGGTATTTATGCAATGCTATAGTCAAATAAACATGTTTTTAATATAAAGACTGCATTTATCAGCCTCTTGGAATCCATTCTGCAAAATCCTGACATCAGTTAGAAACATAGGAATACATTGATATAAAACAAATGCACTGTATATCTTTTATATTTCTGAGTGAATAAGAAAAATAGTTTTGAAATATTTATGTGCTGTAGTTATTTCACTGGTAAATGGTTTTCATATCTTTTCTACAGAAGTAACAAATTGCATTGAAGGTATTTAGTTGTTACAAAACTACTTTTTGAAAAAGCAGGAGTAAGGCAGACAGATTTCTTTGTAAAATGAACTTTAGCAATTCAGTAGGAATAAAAATAAGTGGATAGTAAGCAATCTGCATTTAAAGTACCTTGATTTGAGACTCAGGAGATGTGAATTAAGTGTTCTGTGTCATTTGCAAATGACATGATTGTGGTCAACTCATTCTCTGGATCTTGGTTTCCTTTTCTGGGCACAGGATGCACAGGTTCACATTCATATTCACCACACAGTGATGGACATGCGTGTATATAAAGATATGTAACTATTATATAAATATGCATAATTCATTTCACTGCTCTTTTAGAACAAGTATTAGTAGGTACATTCTTCAGCACAAGCCACTGAGATGTCATACTCCTAGTAATAGCAGAGCAAAGATTCAAATCCAAGTCTGTTTGGTTTCTAAGCCTAAGTATTCTTACTACATATACTGCTTGCCAGTATTAATGTAAATGTGGCTACCATTTGGTGATACATATGTTTTTATATATACAGTCTGTGCCAGACACAGTGCTAAGCATTTATGGTTTCTCTGCACTGATACATGCAGAAATAAGAGATTATGTTCTTGCACAGTACTGTATCAAGTTATACTAATACTTCCAAGACTATTACTAAGCAGAGGAAACAATGTGTTATGGTGTTTAAAGCAAGGGCTTTGGAGTTAGATGCTCTGGGTTCAAAGCTTGGCTCTGCTCCTACAGTTGTAGACTTTTGATGTGTTATTCAACCTCCCTGAACCTGAGTTTATCAGTACAATGTGAATGATACTATCTTTGCCTTATAGGTTGTCATGAGGATTACATTAGGTAGTTCACGAAAAATGCTTCCCATCCTGCCTTGCTCAACTAATGTTAGTAATTAATATGAGATTGTAAATCTGCCTGCTCACAGCATTTGTAGTATGCAAACTGATTGTCATATAATGATATTACATGAAAAGAAGAGCTCATTTCCATATCTACACCCCATTTTGCCACTGGCATCATGGTCTCCTGTAAAAGCCACTGGGTATTAGGGGGGAGAGGAAGTCCACACTCCTTTGCAATCCTAGCCTTTAGGATCTGCTTTAGAATCTACCTGCTCAGTAGTCTTCAGAAAAATAAGGTTATATTTTTTCAAAATGACTACTAATTTGATGCCTCTTCAAAATGATAGTCTTACAGAGAGATCCAAAATTAATTCAGAGGAGAAGTTCAAGTGCCATGTCTAGGGTCACAGGGTCACAGAAAGCCAGGAATTTTTAAATGCCACATATATACATATATATATTTATATATAGCATTCTATGTATTGTATGCTTCCCACCCTGCCTTGCTTATTGAAAGCAAGTAAGCAAGAGATGATGACTCTCATATATATATCATATATATATGTATATCATAGATATACATGCATTTTTTAATTTTTAATTTTATATATTTTAAATGTTATATATATGAATAGAGTTATGTATATCATATCTGTATATGTAGATATGCATATAAGTATTATATATATACATATATATGTATATATATATATATAAAAACTTTCCTTCTCTTGCTGAATAGTGGAGTGCTTTTCCTGCTTCTTCCCCTCATATTAAAAAAAATGATTTATAAAGACACTGTCAGTTCTTGCCTTTTAGAGCTTTCTATCACTAAATGGTCAGTAAAATAACCCTAAATAAACATTAAGCAAGTGTGTGTGGGGTGGGGGGCAAAAAAGAGATAAGTTTAAGGAAGTATTTATTACAATATCAGGGAATAAACAATTTTCTCTATGTAAAGTTTTAAACAAAACAATCCTAACTTTAATATTTGAAGTGTTGGAAATGAGGTAATATTCCAAAAGAACTTTATAAACTGCAAAGCACTATCAGTGCCTATTTATTCATATGTTCATTTAACAAATTTTTATTGAGCTACTACTAAGTGCCTGGGAAGTACAGAGTTGGACAAGATAGCAATGCACAGATTAAAGCAGGTAAAGGAAAAAAAAACAATAATAGCACTATGACAAATAAATTACAGGATAATACCTAGCACATATTTAACAGATTATATGCTAGTCATTTTTAAGTACTTCACGTGCATTACTTAATGCTCACAACACTGTGAGATTGATAGTAAAGCACAGTGAGGTTAAATAACCTGCCCAAGGTCAAGTAGTAAAGAGACAGCAGTGGAATTTGAACTCAAGCAGTCTGATTCCAGGGTCCCCACTGTAGTTTTTACCTCCCTGGGCATGTTTAGGGGATTCTCTAGGGCCTTACTTTAGGAAAAGGGCATCTGACTAAGCCAGGGAAGAAAATGGAGGTCAGGAAAAATTTCTTGAAGAAGCTAAAACTTAAGCCAAGTATTAAAGAACAAGTTGGAAATAATCAGGTGGATAAAACGGAAAGGTGACTCTGGCAGAAGAGACAAACTCTGCTTTTCGCTGAGGTGGAAAGCGATGTAGTGTATTCTTTTTTTTTTTTTTTAAGATTTTATTTATTTATTTGACAGAGAGAGAGACAGCGAGAGAAGGAACACAAGCAGGGGGAGTGGGAGAGGGAGAAGCAGGCTTCCCGCTGAGCAGGGAGCCTGATGTGGGACTCGATCCCAGGACCCTGGGGTCATGACCTAAGCTGAAGGCAGACGCTTAACGACTGAGCCACCCAGGCGCCCGCGATGTAGTGTATGGCTGAAATTAAGGGGATGAGGCAGAAACTGATGAATTTGAATAGAGAGGGATGGGGCTACGAAATGAGGATCTTTCCTTGATAGAACAAGGAATTTGGTTATGGCCTGCAAGCAGTGGCATTGCTTGAAGTATTTTAAACAAAAAGGTAAAATCATCAGATGTAGTTTGTTGACTATCAGTAGGGTTTTCTGGATGTAAGCAACAGAAAACATCCTCTGATTAAATCAAGCAGAAAGTGAATGTACTGGAACTGACATGAAGGCAGTGGGAAAAGGCTTAGAAAAAGAAAAGGTACCTGAGCACGTCTGGGCATCTAGTTCATAGTAACTACTCCAGGCTGTCTTTGTGATCCTCTTTTTTCTTTTTCTTTCCTTTTTCTTTTAATTTTATTTTATTATGTTGTGTTAGTGACCATACAATACATCACCAGTTTTCAATGCAGTGATCCACGATTCATTGTTTTCATACAACCCCCAGTACTCCATGCAGTACATGCCCTCCTTAATACCCAACACCGGGCTAACACATCTGCCCACCCCCCCTCCCCTCTAAAACCCTGTTTGTTTCTCAGTGTCCATAGTCTCTCATCGTTCATCTCTCCTTCCAATTTCCCGGCCCCCTTCATTTTTCCCTTCCTTCTCCTAATGTCCTCCATGCTATTCCTTATGTTCCACAAATAAGTGAAACCATATGATAATTGACTTTCTCTGCTTGACTTAGTTCACTTAGCATAATCTCCTCCAGTCACATCCATGTTGATATAAAAGTTGGGTATTCATCCTTTCTGATGGCTGAATAATATCCCATTGAATATATGGACCACATCTTCTTTATCCATTCATCTGTTGAAGGGCATCTCGGCTCCTTCCACATTTTGGCTATTGCAGACATTGCTGCTATGAACATTGGGGTGCATATGGCCCTTCTTTTCACTACAGCTGTGTCTTTGGGGTAAATACCCAGAAGTGCCATTGCTGGGTCATAGGGTAGCCCTATTTTTAATTTTCTGAGTCACCTCCACACTATTTTCCAAAGTGGCTGTACCAACCTGCATTCCCACCAACAGTGTAAGAGGGTTCCCCTTTCTCCACAACCTCTCCAACATTTGTTGTTTCTTGCCTTGTCCATTTTTGCCATTCTAACTGGTGTAAGGTGGTATCTCAATGTGGTTTTGATTTGAATTTCCGTGATGGCTAATGATGATTAACACTTTTTCATGTGTCTGTCAGCCATTTGTATGTCTTCTTCGGAGAAGTGTCTATTCATGTCTTCTGCCCATTTTTTTTTATTCTTATGTTAATCCCCATACATTACATCATTAGTTTTAGATGAAGTGTTCCATGATTCATTGTTTGTGCATAACACCCAGTGCTCCATGCAGAATGTGCCCTCCTCAATACCCATCACCAGGCTAACCCATCCTCCCACCCCCCTCCCCTCTAGAACCCTGTTTGTTTTTCAGAGTCCATCATCTCTCATGGTTCGTCTACCCCTCTGATT